GCAAGAAACTGGTCAGTTTTGTCTCTGTCACCCTTAATTAATGCATATTAAGCAGTTATTAATGATTTATAAAGTATTTATGGAGGAATTAATAACGTAATAACGTTCTAGAATTGCGCCGCTCGGGGTGGCTGCGTGTTGGAGCAGCTCTGTTACATTCATTCCGAGTTATTGCTTTTGAAAATTCCTCTTTTTTTCTGCATGTAAATGGCTTTTTTCAGATGATTGTTTCCTCTGGTATCGGATGCTGCGCAGCTGGAAGGATTTGTACTGAAACCTTCTTACTTTTGTGTACTTGTTATGATGCGTAACCATGACAACAAGGCGTTTATTTTTAACAACCAGGAGCAGCTGATTAACATCTCAAAAGCTCAACTATCTCAACTACAGCCCCAAATCTCAAATGAGTTGAAAAGGAGGCGCCGTGGACGAATTTCCGTCAACCTGGCAGCGGTGCTCAAGTATCTGACCGCTGAGATCCTGGACCTGGTGGGAAACTTGGCTCGTGACAACGGGAGGACCGGGATCATCCCCCGGCACCTTCAGCTGTTTATGGTGACGAGGAGCTCGGCAAACTGCTGGGAGCAGTGACCATCGCTCAGGAAGGAATTCCACCCTGCATTCAGGCAGTCCTGCTGCCCAGGAGGACCGAGAGGCCCGCCGGATCTGACAGCAAGCTGGATCTGGGTGGACGGATCAGTATCTGTGGCCAGATTCTTGGGCTTCACTACAGGAGCTCCTTCCTGCCCACAGCTATCAGCATCTAACAACTCATGAATGAAACCAGGATGATGAGCTACGACAACACTTAATTTACCTTTGGGATTAATAAAGTATTTTTTAAATTGGTATCTATAAACAATTTATTAGCAGTCTATAAGGGGAGCCTTATTGTAAAGTGGTACACACATTTTTATTTTAAAAAAAAAAACGGCAAAAGTGCATTTAAGTGTAAAAAAAAATATATATATATATCTTCAAATTCAAGCAACTAAAGTCTGTATTGTCTAGATGTAACACTATGAGGTCAGAAGGTCTTACAGGATGCCTGTCGGGGCTGCAGGAGAAGGAGATGGCTGTGGATCTGTTGTAGACTCGATGACAGGTTTCTCCATCTGTGTAGTTCAGGATGATCTGATCCCCCACGAAGGACAGGATCTGGTTTGTTAGTCCTGCAAATGCAAACACACAGAAAAGAGGCGTTTATGACATCACATGACTACATTACAGTCAGTTGAGTCTGTTTTCTGCCTTTATAAACTTCTTACCAGCGATTTTGTGTTTTCCTCCGTCAGCCTGGCAGGACGACACGGATTTGGAGCCTTTGTGAGCGCAGATGTCTCCCTGCAGCCCCTTGCAGACAGACAGGTGGTAGGTGTATTTGCCGCTGGTAACATTGTAATCTTTGCTCTTCAGGGAGCTGAAGTCAAACTCGTAGCCACTTTTAGGGTCACGAACACGGCAGTTATCACCTGAGAGGAAAAATTCACTTCATTTTAGCATCTCCTCAGCTCCTTAAGGTTCAAAATGTTTTGCTCCATGGTGTTACCCTGAGACTTCCGGACAGGACAGGCCTCAGACGTCCTCCAGACGAAGACATATTCACAACCGTCTTGGCGATCAAACATGGGAGAGCCCTGAAATTAAACAGTCGCAGACAAAAACGCACAAAATTAGGATTAACAAAAGTCGAACGTGTTTGCAGAATGTCAAAATAAAAACATTGTCAGTAGAATTGGCTTTGTTTCAGCTTAGTGGTAAAAAAAAGTGGAGCAGTCATAACTCATTTATTACTCCACACAACTATAATCATTTGTAAATTGTATTGGCTGCAAAAAACAACAACAAAATCTAATAATAAAAAAATGAACAAAGAGGAGTAGGAAAGATATTCCGGGACTTGAAACTCACCGGGTTGTCGTCACACTGGATGATGATGCGTGTGGAGAAGCGGGCTGAAGATCCACACCTGTCTCCGCTGTGATAAACGATGCTGATGGAGCCGTCGTCCGCCACCTGCGGGCTCGACTGAACGTAGCCCAGGTTGAAACCTTTCTCATTGATCACAGCACAAGCACCTAAAGGACCCACTGCGGACGAGGTCAGAAAACAGAAATATTTTAATTAGGACAAACAAAACCACATATACATATTAATTTCTGATTAATATGTTATACAATTTGTTTAGTTATTTTAGCTTCTGTACGCTATTGAGGCATTACTTGAGCATTTTATCATAATTAGTATTAATATTTTAACTCTTTATTTTATAAACTCAAATATAATCTAGTCTAAGTTGTCAAATAGGCACATTTGAAGTTTGTTCTGCCTCCTGTGGGTTTAACGGGTTTACTTTCTTTGTTTTGTGTATTTTAGATGATGACAATTAAACTGGCTTGTAAAATGATGGAAAGTCAGTAAATAAATTTAAAATTCAGATTTTTCTTTGATTGAAAATCCCACAGAAAAGTTTTTAACTCTTGATTTGTATTTTGCTTTTATGACTGAAGGCTGCAGATTACAATAAATCTGCGTTTCCGAAGGTCATCATCCCATCAGCGGTTAGACTTCTTAAAAAAACTGGACTTTATTCAACTTTTATTTAGACCTGGTTAATCCCATTGAGCCTCGGAGACTCACGCAATTTGAAGGAAATAAAATAATGGAAACATCAATGATCATCCCTGAACAATGAGTGAAACACCACATAGTTTTCTTGTTTTTATAATGTGTAATTATATTGCCTTTTTTTAGGGATAGGCAATATTATTGGCATGGTATCGGTAGATATTAGCGATAAAGTTAAATATCGGACATCGGCCATTCCATCAAAATAACTCACCGATGTAAAAGGTGCTGTATATGTATGTATGTATGTGTGTTTTATATATATATATATATATATATATATATATATAAACATAAGGCACTGCTTTTGCAGTGACAAGGACGCCTGCAGCTCCAGCACGTTATGACATCACGCGCACTGTTGATTTAAATTTGTGAAAATTTACAAATTTGCACTGTTCAAGTGTAATTTTCAGCCCCATTTTTGGCATCTGCCTTTGGTTGCAGGCCAAATTGACAAAGACCATGCAGAATAATGTAGGATTTTAATTGCACAGCAGAGAAAGCTGTGTAGTCTTTGTAATTAGGTCTAGGGGAAAAAATATCAGTATTAGGATTGGTTATCGGTCAAATAAGTTTTAACATATCAACCAAAAATCCAATATTGTGCATCCCTAGCCTTTTTATAATTACAGTTCCTGAATTTTGTTTCTGAAGGCACTAAATATACATAATTACAGTTTTTACGCAATGCTCCTCTAACCTGGACAGCCATGTACAGTTGGCAGAGGTTTACAGATGTTTATGTAAAATTTGCGGTTTGTCTCCACATCTGTATTGATGGGAATCCAGGGGTTGTCGTCAGCATTTCTGACCAGGTGGCTCAGGTCGTACTCGTTGCCGTGAGGATCTGGAGAGGAAAAAATACATTAAACATTATAATTACCTCCTTACCTACCTAGCTAAGGAGGTCATGTTTTCGGTAGTGCTGGTTTGTCCGTCTTTGCTTAAGATTACTCAAAAAGTTATGAACGGATTTTCATGAAATTTTCAGGAAATGCTGAGGCTGTCAGAAAGACCAAATGTGGTCATTTGGATCATGATCCAGATCCAGGAATAAAAGTGAAGGCACCAGAGGCTGCTGACAGAGACGAAAAGAAAAGACAGAAAACACTCGGACAGCGCACTCCTCTGCCAAGACCCTAGTGTAACATCTGCCAACGTTGTAAAATGCAACAATCGTGCAACGGCTACGTTACTGTGTGAGTGACCCTGGGGTCTTGGTGAAGGTATGCTCTGTCCGAGTGCTTCTACTTTCATATATTTCTGTCTGAGAAAAAACATTTTTATTTATTACTAGCAGCTGATTTGAAATGATAAAAGTAAAATATTTCAGTTAAAAAAAGTAAATGCATCCTGATGCATGCTCAATAATTCAGGTAGGTAAATCTGACAAGGTTGAGTCAGGTCTTCTGGATCGATTCTTCTTTGTGAAAATGGTTCATCTTTAGTGCCGTTAGTGCCCTGATGGCTGTTTACTGTTCACAGAGGGCTGAGTGATACCAGCAATCACAGCATTGTAAGAGGGGGACAGTTGAACCCGGAGGCCTCCACCCTGTTTAATGATGGACGGTTTCTTTTCACAAAGATGGCCTCCTTTACTCCTCTCTCAAACCATCGTTCCTCTCTGTCCAGGATGTGAACATCTTCATCCTTGAAAGAGTGACCGCTGGCCTGGAGGTGAGTGTAGACCGCAGAGTCCTGGCCTGATGATGTTGATCTTCTGTGCTGGTCCATCCTTTTGGCCAGTGGCTGTTTTGTTTCCCCGATGTAAGACTGATCACCCTCCTGACACTGAACAACATACACAATATTACTCTGTTTGTGCCGGGGGACTGGATCTTTGGGATGAACCAGTCTTTAATGTATTTTGGGGTTTAAAAGCCACTGGGACGTTGTATTTAGAAAATAAACGTCTCAGTTTCTCTGATACTCCCTCAACATATGGAATGACCACTGGTCTGGGTCTGGGCTCCTCCTTTTCACCTGATGGCTGACTGGAGTCCTGTTTGGGTTTCTTCTCTGCTTTCAGGAAGGCCCAGTTAGGATATCCACATTGCTCTAGAGCCTGTCTTGTGTAGGATTTCTCCTTCTGCCTGGCTCCCGAGCTAGTGGGGACGCTGTCTGCTCTGTGATACAGAGTCCTGATGACTCCTAACTTGTGCTCCAAAGGGTGATGGGAGTCAAACTGCAAATACTGGTTTGTGTGGGTGGGTTTGTGGTACACCTCAGTTTGCAAATGCCATCTATCAGAAACAGACCTCACAGTCCAAGAAAGCCAACCTGCCATTTTTTTTACATCTTCTCGTGTGAACTTGATGTATTTATCCATTAACGTGTCAACAAAGAAGAATCAGTCCAGAGGGCCTGACTCAACCACGTTAGAAAAGTAAATGTATTTTTTCTACGTGTATAATGTCTGTGTACATACCGGTGATTCTGCAGGAAACTGGAGCAGGCTCGCAGGCCAGAGCCGTGGAGAACTCAAACAGAGCGTCGTGGGTCGCATGGCTGGCTGACGTGCTCAAATCTTCTTGGACTAGTTTTAATGAGCCCAGGGACGATTTTGGATCGCACAGAAAATTAATTGTGAACGTGACTCTGGAAGCTGGTGGAAAGAAATAAAAACTGTTAATGCAAATAAATGACAAAATCTTCTGCATTTAAAGATACAGGTTTACATCTACGGTATATTTTTATATATATATATATGGCAGCAGCCATCTTGGATTTTGACGCAGCAACCCAATTTTTGAGAGTGACCTTTCTTACACTCGATGTAGCCACACACTAAAAGGAAGCCTCATTCATTTTTCAAGTTATCATGCTCACAACGCAGATGGATGATCAGAAGATGCTTCCAATTACCCTGATTTGTTCAGCGATGGGAAACCAAAAGCAGCTCTGAGAAGAGAGTGACTTCTAATTTCTGACTTTATAAACTACAAATAATTAAGTTTTTTATATACGTGGAAGACAGTAATGAACCGATGAATACAACTGTGAAATGTTGAAAAAATTTGAATTAAAAAAAGAACATTTTTGTTGTCTGTCCTGTAAGTCTGACGCACTGAAACAAGGCTTCAGTTCGTTTTGTTGTTTTTATAACAGTGACAAAAGTGTAATAAAATAACTGAAAACATATTTTATACAATAAACAGAAAAAGAAAAAAGTTCACATTAGGATGAAAAATTAAACTGCATGGTTCATGTTAAGACAAAAATGCTTTTCCTTTCCTAAAAATCAGAACATCAATTACTGTATTTTTTACCCTATAGGTCACATTTTTTTGCATAATGTGCATGCACTGTGACTTATAGGCCGAAGCAACGTATTTATGGATTTTTTCCCATATTTATCAACCAATTTTTGGCTGAGATATGACCATTTTCATTCATTCTGACTGAAAAAAATTGAACACTACCATTTTTCAACCACTAGATAGAAGCAGAGTTGTATGGCATGCCGTTGTATCATGTAATAGGTAAACGTGGCTATATTGACAAATTCAAAAACGTTCAAGACAAAAACAACTGGACTTTATTTATTATAGTTTATTATTTTTGTCTTGAACTTTTTTGAATTTACCATGTCCTAGATGACTGAGAACCTTCATCAGCTATTAATGACACAATCGGCTTGCCATAGACTGCCACCTTCCTCCAGCTCATCTACAGCAACCGTCAAATCAGCTTCATCATTTAGGTGGTTATCTTGTTAAATTTAAACAAAATGTAGCGGCTGGTCCAGCTGTGCGTGCCCGCGTCACAGCACCTCAGCAGTGAAACTATTTTTGAAATTCAGCTGATTTGACCATTAAAGTGCATTTTTTAATGAATAGTTCAACTGAGAACACCTTTGCTATAATATTGAGCAAACAAATAATTGTTTTTAAGAGTTAATCTTATTAAATTCTTGTTAAAAGCCCTCCCTTGCATGCACCAGCGGCCACCATTTGGCAGCCAATCGATTTTTGGCATAACATCGGACCACGTTGCGTCAGCGGTGACGCATAATAGATGCGACATATTCAACGAAGTGACGTATTTATGGATTTTTCCACTTTATTAGATATATTTGGACTGATGCAACTTGTACCGCGGTGCGACATGTACGGCGGAAGATATGGTACGTAAAAACAGTTGTTCTTAAAGAGGTCAACGTTTTAACTGGCACGTTAAAACCTGATCCATTAAACCACTTGCTGTTTGTGGTTTTGATGTCAGCTTGAAGTACCTGTGGGAACATCCAGCTGCCCTCTGTACGTTAGCTGGAGGACGCCATCAGTGGAGTACTGGAGGGTCTTCTCCACCCCCACCGGATTGACCGGCTGTCCGTTCTCCAGCTCGCAGCCGGCCATACCCGTCCCACATTTTGGTGCATCTTCACAGATGTTCAGCTGCAGAAGGGAGGCATCAAACTTCTGTTTACTTTGTGGCAAAATTTAACATGCAGAAAATCGATATCGTAACAAGAAGACTGAATAAAAAGATGTCAATCCAGCAGGTAGATGTTGCACTGGGACATACAAGTTAAAAAGACATTAAAGCTACAAGACATCCTGACGATCAGAGCATCGCTGACGTTTGTGTCTTACCAGGAAGTTTTTGCCGTTAGCGGTTGTGTTATATCCGTCTTTAATGGCCAAAGGCTTAAGGTTGAACTCAAAACCAGAATTGGGGTCCACAACCGCACACGTCTGAAACATCCAGAAGTTAATATTCATTAAAACAATCATTCTTTATTGTATTAATTGCAGGAAAAGTTTATTTTTTTTAAGTAAATAGTAAAAATAGGACTCAAGTGAGTGAACTCACATTGTTTTTGGTGGTTGTGATGGAACAGGCTGCTCTGGTCTCCCACATAAAGGTCACGGTGCAGTTCTGGCTAATCAGGAAGCGCGGGCGCATGGACTGAACAGCGTGGAGCACAAACGGATCAGTAACACACGAGGAATGTTCACTGGCAACAACCTGCACTTTGCTACAAACACTACTTCCTTACGGTGCTTCCTCTGGAGCAGACCAGGTGGATCCGAGTCGTGTAGGAGAGCTGCTGACCTTCTGACATGCAGACAGAACCACCTGTGAACTCCAGCAGCAGCCGGTCCCGTCCCTCTATGATGGGTCCTCGTTTGAACACCCCCATGTTACTGACGGATACCACCTCCTTCGGAGAGCCCTGAGGACAGGAGCTGATTTTATACAGACTGACGAAACGTTTAGAAATGACAAAATCACAAGAAAAAATTAATATATTTTCTTGTAAAGTGCGTACATGACCTTAGTACAAGTACACAGCATATTGTGTACATGACCTTAGTACAAGTACACAGCATATTGTGTACATGACCTTAGTACAAGTACACAGCATATTGTGTACATGACCTTAGTACAAGTACACAGCATATCGTGTACATGACCTTAGTAAAAAGTACACAGTATGGTGAGTGCATGACCTTAGTAACAGTATATAGTATGGTGTATACATGACCTTAGTAAAAGTACACAGTATATTGTGTACATGACCTTAGTACAAGTACACAGTATACCGTGTGCCTGACCTTACTACAAGTACACAGTATGGTGTGTGCATGACCTTAGTAAAAGTGCATAGTATACTGTGTACATGACCTTAGTAAAAGTACACAGTATACTGTGTACATGACATTAATACAAGTACACAGTACGGGGTGTCCATGACCTTAGTAAAAGTACACAGTATACTGTGTACATGACTTTAGTAAAATTACACACTATATTGTGTACATGACCTTGGTAAAAGTACACAGTATATTGTGTACATGACCTTAGTACAAGTACACAGTATACTGTGTACATGACCTTACTACAAGTACACAGTATGGTGTGTGCATGACCTTAGTAAAAGTACATAGTATACTGTGTACATGACCTTAGTAAAAGTACACAGTATACTGTGTACATGACATTAGTACTAGTACACAGTACGGGGTGTGCATGACCTTAGTAAAAGTACACAGTATACTGTGTACATGACCGTAGTAAAATTACACAGTACAATGTGTACATGACCTTGGTAAAAGTACACAGTATATTGTGTACATGACCTTAGTACAAGTATACAGTATACTGTGTACATGACCTTACTACAAGTACACAATATAGTGCATACACGACCTGTGTAAAAGTACACAGTATACTGTGTACAGGACCTTAGTAAAAGTACACAATATATTGTGTACATGACCTTGGTAAAAGTACACAGTATATTGTGTACATGACCTTAGTACAAGTACACATTATATTGTGTACATGACCTTAGTAAAGGTACACAGTAAACTGTGTACATGACCTTAATAAAAGTACACAGTATACTATGACCTTACTACAAGTACACAGTATAGTTTTCTCTAATGAAGCGAAGTCTGAACAGGGTGATGAGATCAAATTAAATTTGCACATTTTGCTTCCGTTTTACTAATAACGTTTAAACGGGCGCTCACAGACCTGCCCGGTTTCATATTTCATCTCGCAGACCGATGTATCGCGGTCACAGCCCGACACCGGTATGATGGGCCGACATATGTTGATGTAGTACTTCTTCAGGCCCGCGTTGTCCGACCGATCAATCACCACCCAGTTTCTGGTAGAGGAGGAGCGCGACAGGCTGGAGGAAGAAGAAGAAACACGTCGCTGAGTGAGGAGCAGGGCGGGTTAGGAAAATCTTAAACCGAACTAGTTTGTTTTATTTCCTTTCGTTGTTTATGTAAAGAAGTTTGTTTCACCTGGATAAGTCGTACTGGTCCCGAGTGCTGGGATCCGTCACCAAACACTCGTGCGCCCTCTGAGGACAGGCGTAGGACGTGTACCACAGGAAGTTGTACGTGTAATTGTCTTCAGTCTGTATTGATCGGGAGCAGATTTTAACAACAAGCAGAGACAGTTTAAACTAGACGAATGCATTTCCTGCAAAAATACAATGTGAATTCTTATTTCTGAATAACTTGCTGAAAAACAGCTAAAAATTAGCTAAAAACATGCTGAAATGTAGCTGAAATGGAAGAAGAAGCCGAAATTAACAGAAGAAAGCAGAAAGGACACATATTTGCTGAATTAGATTTAAATAAACAAATGAGCACACAAATTAGGAATCAGCTAAAAAAGATAAAATAAAAAGTCTAAAAAGTAGCCGAAAAGGCAAAAAAGACGCTTAACCTACAAGAAGGAAGTGGAAAGAGCTGAAATGAGCTAAAAAATGTGAAAGTAGCTGAAAAAGCTCAAATTTGCATAAAACAGCTAAAAAGTAGCTGAAATAGCAGAAAAAATTAAACTAGCTGAATAAAACTGAAAGGAGAACTACAAGCTGAAATTAGAAGAAAGAAGTTAATTAAGCTGAAAGTAGCCGAAATTACCAAGAAAATCTTGCAATATGTAAACAGCTGAAATTAGCTAAAGAAATTCTTAAAAAGTAGCTGAAAAGGTAGAACAACCTTAAATCTGTAGGACAGCAAAAAGAACATGTTTGCCCAATTATGCTAAAAGAAGCAGAAATGAGTAATACAAAAAGTAGAAAATATCGGAAAAAAAGCAGAAATTAGCAAAAAAACAGCTGAAAAGTAACTAAAAAAAGGCAGAAAGAAGCCTAAATTACCAGAAGGAAGTGAAAAGAGCATCTTTTTGCTGAATTAGGATGAAAAAAGCTTAAATGAGTGCCAAAAATGTGGAATTAGCTACAAAAGTTTAAATTAGCATAAAACAGCTAAATAGTAGCTGAAATAGCAGAAAAAGCTGAAACTTGCAGAAATAAGCTGAAAGGAGCATAATAAGTTGAAATTAGCAGAAAGACATTAGAAGAAGCACAAAATGTTGTAGTTAGCAGAAGGATCCTGAATGGATCACAAAACAGCTTAAAAAAAAAAACAGCTGAAAAATTGTTTAAATTTACACAGAGAAGCTGAAGCAGAACAAAACGTGAAAGGAGCAGTAAAAGGGTGTAAACAGATCTAAAGATCTGAAGGGTGTAAAATGAGCTCAATTCATTCTTTATTAGGAAGAAAAAAAAAGGCTAAATATTTCAAAAAAGCTAGAGTTGCACCAATACCAAAAGTTATAGCAGGATTGTCCTGAAAGAGCTGAACGTTCTGATCTATGATTTGTTGAAATAGCTCGAAAAACGTACGGAAGAAAAACGTATCACAGTAGAGAGAATGCTTCATAAACATTCACCCAACAAGAGGAGGAAGGAGAAAGGGAAGAGCGTCACCTGGTAATCAGGGTTTCCTGGTCCAGCCTCTGGGTCGCAGAGGAAAGAGATGAGGGTAGATCTGAAAGTGTGTTTTGCATCGTTGTACTGGGATCCATTTCGGTAGGTGAGCTGGATCAGGCCATTGTAGTAGGACAAATGGGAGTTTGCCTCCCCGAGACTCCAGGAGCTGCAGGCAAAAAGCAGATGCTGGCTGCAGAAGGTTGTAACGTGTCAGCAGGTATACAAGACGTGGCGTGTCTCACTTTTTTCCCACTTGGCATGCTCCGGCCTTCTGAGGACAGGTTTCTTTCGTCACTGGACCACAAACGTTGATGTAGTAGTTGTAGCCGCCGCTGGTCAAATTGTAGAAACCGCCATTCGGTTTGGTGAGAGGAGACAAGTCGAATGAGAACTCTGCAGAGAAACAAGTCCGACACTTTACTGCGTATAAACCTAACGACACAGCTGCTACACACAGTAGAAGGCAGAGACGAGACAAAGTTGTGAACCTTTCCTGCAGACTTTCCATTTGTTCAAATGACTTTTCTAGTATTTATATACTCAGATTTTACAGATTTGAGTTATAGGAACGTAAACACAGTGGAAAGGTGCTTTAGGTTGAGTTTCAGGATTTTCTTGTGATGTGCAATAAATATTACACGTTCAATACTACGATGACGTCAGTCGAGAAGTCTTTGCTATATTGTGCAGCCCCAATGTAATTTTTTTTGTACCGTATTTTTCGCCGTATAAGTCGCACTTTTTTTTTTGCATAAATTTGCAAGTTCTGCGACTTATACACCGAAGCGAATAATATACGTTTATTCCCATATTTATAAACCAATTTCTGGCTGAGATCTGACGATTTCATTCATTCTGACATGGAAAATATTGAACACTTCCATTTTCAACCGCTAGAGGGCCCTCGACTAATATGGCAAGCAAAGTGTCTCATTAATCCAACATTTTTCAGTCAGGTCATCTGGACCGTTTCTTTTTTTTTTGTGCTGAAACGTTTCGCCTTCGATCCAGAAGGCTTCATCAGTCAAGGAAACGCACAACAAAACTGATTCTTCCCCCAACAGCTTCCTCCAAAGTGGAACAAACCAGTTCTGCTTGTGATAAGATGGTCTCTTTGGTACGTCCCCTCCTCCATTGCCGGCCCTCTTCCTTGTTGACAGTCTTGTCAAACTGGTTGAAAACAACAAAGTCCATGCTCAATAATTCAGGTATACAAACATTTTTGATGACCTGACTGAAAAATGTTGGATTGTATACCTGGATTATTGAGCATGGACTTTGTTGTCTCATTAATAGGTAAACGTGGCTATTAATGAGGTACTTGGCTTGCCATAGCGAGCCACCTTCGGCTCGTTCCGGAACTCCTGGAGCAAACGTCAAATCAGCTGCACTTTGCCGCTCAGCCCAGGTGAAATGCAGCTGATTTGACCATTTAAGTGCAATTACTAGGAACATTTAAACTGAGAGAAAAACACGTCTGAATAAACGTGTAAATTATTCATAAGCACCAACATTTCTTCAACATCTTTCTCTTCGCTTGCCTTTATGCTGCTGTATTCATTCATACTCTGCTCACTACAGACTCATGTTCAGGTTGCTGTTTAATATACTGTATTATTTTACATTATTAATGTTTAGCGTATATCTTAGTGCATACCTTTGATCTTTATATACCGTTCCTTTTTTATACTTTTTGCTATTTTTGGGTGTAACCGGGACCTTGAGTGCACAATTTCGTTCCACCTCCTGTACCATATATGGTGCAAATGACAAAAAAGAACCTTGAACTGAAAACTTTACAAATCCGATACGGCAAAGGACCAACTGGTGTGTTTTCGTACCCGCCTGAGGGTCCTCCACTTTGCAGTTGTCTTGTTGAGTCTTTGAGAGGACGCAGGCAGCAGCCGTGTACCACTCCAACACATAAACGCACGAATCAGGAGAAACGCTAAGAAGGATAGGAGGACTCTCGAAATCTCCTGCAAGAAAGTTTAGAGCGTGGGAGAAAAACAAATATTCAAGATTAAAAAAGAAGAACCTGAAAAACGCTAAGGTCCAAAACTAAATACGATGTGAACACCTGTTATATAGTAAAGTCTCATGTATGAGGATATCATAAAACGCCACAATTATCATATTAAAACTTGTTCGTTTCGATTTTAGAGTGAATACAGCAAGACAAACTGCAGAAGCGGTGCATAAAGAAATAAAATATGCAGCAATAACTCAGAAATCATCCCCTGTTCGACCTCATCACTTTGTTACAATACCTGGTTTGCATTTGAGAGTCAGGACAGTTTGGATCCTGGTCTTCTCGTTACCGGGACAAATGTTTCCATCGGTATACATCAGTCTGATGTCACTTCCTGTTTTAGTCATCTTAGGAGGAGCGAGGAAGCTGCCCAGGCTGATGGTTTGGTTTTTCTTATCTGGACGAGAGTCAGACTCAGTAAAACTTGCACAGATCAATATTGTTATTATTATAGATACTTTTTTTTCCCTTACCCACAGCGCAGATGGCGGCCTCCTCTGGACACAAAGCAGCACCTCCTCTCTGGATGATTTTGTGGCAGACGTTCAGGTAGAAACGAGAGTTGTGAATCGGGTTCGAGTCCGACTGTGCAGACGTAGAATCCACAACCTCCCAGTTCTCACTGTCATCTGACGCTGCAGCAGCAAGAAGAGACACGGGGAAATAAACATTATGACCAAAGATTTGTCACAAGGAAACAAAGTACGATGATCAACAGATGCTACATTAAGATATTAAAGAGAATAGAACCAGTGTTTGACAGAAACAATAACAATACCAACAAAAAATACAGTAAAATTATTGTTTACATATTTTCTCCAAGCAGTCTGACTTTCTTTGAAATATTCTAACTGTTTTCAAGCTTTCTGTAGGGTTTATTTTTCCTCAGACTTCAGCTGTTTTTCTCTTGGTTTCAGTCCAGAAACTAATTATTTTCAAAATAAAGTATTTTGTTAGTTTATTAAGGTCCTTAACTCTGAGCTACTCATGTCTAAGTCCTAAACTCAAGGAATAAACGAGCGGTACACCAGTGTCCCCTGTCACTGAGAGATTTGAACAGTGAATGTTTGCAGTTTTTGTGGAGTGTTTTCTTGAACTGGGATTGGACAGAATGCAAATAAACTTTAATTTTTTTCATGCAAGATATTCAAGTAGGTAGGAGTTACACTGTGGGGAACAGACGCCGGGTTTTGTTTACTTGTTTTGGCCCCCCCCCCCCCACCCACTCACACCATAGAATTAATTTTCATCCAGGACCACACCAATCATTTGAGGAAACTATACTTTTAAGCAAAATAAAAACTAGAAAACAAACACATATGGTGGCAGCCATCTTGGATTTTGATGTGGCAACCCACTTTTCAAAAGGACTCTTATCCTAGATGTAGCCACACACCAAAATGGAAGACAACTAGTGCCGTGTCAACACATAACTTAACAAAGAATCCATTTTGAACTGGATCTTAAAAAGTTCCGTCTTACCAGTAACTGGCCACAAAGGCAGTTTGTTCCCATTTCTTGAGTTGAATGTACAAACAATGACCAGAACAAACACAGTTTGACAGATAATGAATTAAAGGACGTGGCGTCTCCCAGGTTCTGTGTCTTCACTGGATTTTTGTTTATAAAACACGACTATCAAATACCTTAATTTCTAGACTATAAGCTGCTACTTTTTCACAGGCTTTGAACCCCGCGGCTTATACAATGCTGTGGCTAATTTATGGATTTTGGGGGCGGGGAGATGGGCTAACGAGCTTCCTGCCGCCAAAAATCTATTAGTTTTTTGGCGACTGCCCAATACATGTCTCTTTTGGGGGGTGGGTCCTCATGACTCGATGAGACTACCTGCATAAATAAAGGTTAAAAAATAATAATAATCTGACCAATGAAATTACAGAACAGATCACAGTGAACCAATGAAACGGGGAGGAGAGAACGGGGAGGAGGGGGGATCCCTCTGCATGTGCAGAGCAACTTTTGCTCCACAGAGCACAAGCTTGCAGCAGGAGGAAAATGAAGATAGCGGATCAATAACTTCCTGGTAGACTTCTGTATTTTTTGACAACGAAAAAGAGACTGAGGACGTGTGACGTTTTTCTGAGGCTGCTCAATTCTGTCACTGAAGAAAACGACTTTAGTGGCTTTAATGCACAAGAGTAAGATGAACATGGCGATCAGTGATTTTTCCTGGTGAGCTACTGTTTTATTTAAACCAGTTGTGTTAAAGGCATTGTTCAGAAAAACAATAAAAATACTGTTTGTGTATGTTAGCAGTAAGCATTTAATTTAAAAAAATCGTTCTGTGTAAATATCTCATGTTACAATGTGAACGCCCGCGGCTTATACACAAGTGCGGCCTATATATGCACAATTTTTGTGTGTGTGTGTGTGTGTGTGTGTGCGAAGCTTAGTCCAGAAATTACAGTAATTCCCATTTGTTTGAAATAGTTTTTCTTTTAGGCTTGATGGTGTCAATGGTTTCCACTTTTCTCATTTGTAAGCACATTCTGCAGAATGTGAAGCAAAACTTAGAAAAAAACAACAACCCAGAAAGCCCGAAGAAAACACTTCACAAAGTTAAAAGAAAGTCTGGCTGCTTGGAAAAGAGTTAAGACATGATGGATGGATGGATGGACCAAGACTTTTGCACAGAACTCCATTTTTCCCTTCTTTTACATCTAATCTTTGAAATGTTAACGTTATCTGATCACAAGCACGAGTAAGTCTGTTTGTTAGAGTAATTCAAACAAATAATAACAAATCATATTTTAAATGAGGCTTTGATCGACAGCTCAGGTAAACTCACCAGGGTATTTAGTCAGGGGTGAGAGGTCGAAGCGTTTGTTGCCATCTCTGACCCGACACAACAAATCCTCCATCTCCTTGACACAAGCGAAGGCTGTGTCCCAGTTGAAGTAGTAAGTGCAGTCCGTCTCACCGGCAAAAACTGGATCCCCACGTCCTCCATTGGCTACAGGCGATACGGCAAACAATCAGAAGGATGATCACATTTCATTTATGACGAGATCTGGTCTGTTATTGTGGATTGTTTCTGTGTTAGCAGAATAGAAAGAAGTTACTTTAACTGTTAAAAACACAAAAACCTACAGTCTGTTCCTTTAAGTCAACACCAGAGGGCACCGTTGAAGTCTTAAACCTGGATTTGTTCTAAAGAAAGTAATTTTATTAAAACATTTGTCTCACACGCAGCCTTGTTGCACTGAAAGTTGATGATGGTCATCCTCTGGAAGCCGGAGGAACATTTGCTTCCATCTGGATAAATCAGAGTGAGATCGCCATCTGAATACCTGCAGAGAAACAGGAAGCAGCAGAAGAAGTTATCCAAGGTCAGGAGCTTAAATGAAAAGTTAACTTACTGACGTTTAGGCCATGTTCTCAAAAAGCCCAACCCTGACACCCAGACTCTAAACCTTACCAGTGGAAATAATGATGACCCAAACTTAGTTCAACCTAACCCCTAACCCAAAGATGACAATCCACCATATTAGAAGTGGGCTTTGGTCCTCATATCAAGGTCAAGGTTTCTTTATTGTCATTCGCATCGCATGTGGTACATGTGGTGGAACGAATTTGTGTACAAGGGGTCCCAGTTACATCCAATAAAAGTATAAAATGTAAAAGAAAAACAGTAATAAGATCTAAGGTATGAACTAAGTAATATGCCAAACACTAGTAGTACAAAAGCAATACGCCCAACAACAGCAGCACGAGCATGAGTCTGTGTGAGCAGATGAGGATGAATGAACACAGACAGCATGAAATAAATCAGCAGCATGAGATCAGCAGCATATGACAGGGCTAGTAAACTAAATGGTTCAAAGGCAGGAGAGACAGCAATTATTGTCACTACATAAATTTAATTTATAATTTAGAACTTAAGTTTGGTTGTAAATGAACTCAATGGCAGGCACAATGAGTTGTATGTCCCTGTTATAGATCATCTATGTAACAGGATCACCGCTCTGATGGAAATACTTTTTATTTCTTATATTTTTATTCTTTTTTTCACGTTTAATTTTATTATTTAAAGTCTAGTTTTATTTTAAATGAACTCATTGATGGGCCGGACTGACGTGCCCCCGGGCCACCAGGTTAACAGCCCTGCCATATGGACTACTGTTCCTGACGAGATGAGATCAGCAAAGATCCTAAAAAGGAAACAAACAAAAACAAGAACACACACTCAGACTGATCTTACCGTAGCTTCTGGTTCTGAAATTTTCCAGCCACCTTCTTTATGTTTCCGGACATCTTCACCTGGCAGGACGAGACGAAAGGATCTTTGCCACACTCATTAGTGGGGGCTTTTCCACACACGTTCAGGTAGAAGGTGTAGCTCTCAGGGTCGTCACTGGATCCAGAGTGAGCGTAGTACGGCTGTTCTCCAGCTTAACACAAAAACACGGGAAAGCTTTCAGACTTCCAGCCTGATTAGATTTATCTTTAATTTACTGTAAAATAACTAAAACAACTGTATTATGTTCTATTCACAAAAAATATATATGACAAGATCATCAGATAAAGACTGGAAAATTTTCATGCAACTTCATGTTTAGTAAATTTTTCAACCATTCCGGATGCCTTTAGAAAAAAATACTTAAGTACATATTTTTAATGCAGTTAAGTCATCAGAACTTCCTCTAACTGGAGCTAAAACAGTCGCACTATGAGCCAATACCTCCTGTGGGTTATTTATATTATTATGAGTAAAATGAGTAACAAAACTAAAAAAGAACAAAAAAAAAAAAGAGCTTTTTTTTTGGACATCATAAATTACACGAACGGCTTTGGGCACGTCTGCATCGTTACAGCACTTTTGCGTTTTCTGGATAAATTTTTTTCTCTGGGGCGGCACGGTGGTGCAGTTGGTAGCGCTGCTGCCTCTCAGCGAGCAGGCTGGCCCAGTTCAAATCCCGGCCGGGGGTCTTTCTGGGTGGAGTTTGAATGTTCTCTTCGTGCATGTGTGGGTTTTCTCCAGATACTCCGGTTGTCTCCATGTGTCCCTGTGATGGACTGGAGACATATCCAGGGTGTCCCCCGCCTCTCACACAGTGATAGCTGGACATAGGCACCAGTGACCCGTGCAACCCGAAATTGAAGAAGCGGGTAAAGTGGAGGGAGGGATGGATGGCTGGATGGACTACTGCACGCACCCGACTGAACATTAACGCAAGTCTTTCCTGCCAGCAGCCATTAAGCTCTATAATGAGCAATGTAGAAATGTATCCTAAACGTGTACTTAACGTATCCCCTGCCTTGGATCTGTGTATTTTCATGCACTATTTTTAATTTATTTTAGTATCAGTGTATTTTGGTTTGAGTATTTTAGCATTAGTATTAATATCTTGTTGATGTGTGACATAACTGCTACAGTGACCTTGGAATTTCCTGCAAAGGATCAATAAAGTATCCATCCAAATGAGGGTCTGCACTCAGTGTAAACAAAGTATTCAGCTGAAAGCTTGAACTGCGTAACTGACCTACTGTACGTTGAGGTTGTTGTAGTTTGTGTAGCTCACAAATGTAGCTTACAGATATTTCTGTTTAGGGACACATCAATCGATGTGAAAAAATAGTGTGCAGATCTGGTTTCTTACTTTCTGATTTTATTTCTGTCCTCATGACTTTGCAACGAGCACCTTTAAATAAATGTCATCTCGAGAAGATGTGGGCATTTGAAAGCTTTGCAGCAATGCCGTGTCTATTCTAGGTTACGGCTCAAAGTGGTGGGGCTGAACCACTCCATGAAGAAAATGTTTCTGCATTAACAAAATCACCTTTCTGCGGTGAATAAAGATGTTATATTTAAAAAAAACAACAGAACTAATTACAGGTCAGGGTGAGCGGTGAGAGGTCTATAGAGATGTCGTGCTGTTCACTAGTCAGTTTGCAGGTGTGGCTCTCCAGGTAGTCTCTGTGGCAAGCATATTCAGTCACCCACTCCACCTCGTAACGGCAGTTGGACTCGGCTATCATCTTAGGAGAACTTCCCTAAAAAAAAATAAAGAAAAGGATAGGTTGAATGTAAATATTTCCAGAAAATCAAGCTAATAGATTAGCCAGGTTAGCTGTGTGACCAACCAGATGCCTGCTCGATGGACAGATGAAGGTGATGTTGACAGTCGGCTTGTGTTCTCCGCACCTATCCGGAGGAGAGTCGGCACTTAATTCATACTGTAGCCTCAACCTGAGGAGAAAATCAAGAAAATCAAACATTAATTAAATACAGGCTCATTTGAAATTCTCAAACAAATTAAGACTGGGTCCTGGAGAGCCCTGATGTCCTGCCGAGACTCACGCTGCAGGATACATCATGGATCCGTGTGGTTTGGCAGCTGATGCGTCTTTCAGTTATGTCTCAGGAGGACGCCGAAGACGTTTATATAATTGGATTCATGATAGCAGGGCTTCTGCTTTTTGGTATCGGCAGGTCCCTGTGTTATCAACTTTTGAAGAAGACATCGGCAGCAGTTTCGGTCATGACAAAACTTCCGAGTCTGCGTGAAAGTTTGGTTCGTGATACGAGTACTCAAAATCAGCTGATTTACGAGTTAAACCACAAGATGGAAGTGATTTGTGACAATTGAAGGCCACCTGCGGCTTCTAGGATTAGCCAGCATGTTGAAGTCAACCTTGAAGAAGGCTCATAGCACGGATCAGTGGAGTGGAATGCCCATAAATTTGGCCATTTTGGACCTGGAAAGTACCAGCAGGACTCAAGGCTGACAAAAAAAAAAAAACAGTCTGCCTGAAGAAAATCAACAATTGTGGCTTATCTGAATCCGACTCCCCCGTTTGGCCTCAGATACGGGCCGACTATCAAATTTCTCCTGGGACATGGGTAAACTAAAGAAAAAGCTTTGTCTATCGCAACCACCCCCCACCCCAAGATCTTCTTTGCAGGCTTATCAGAACTGCCGAATCAACAACATCATCACAAATATGGCCTATCTGAAAGTGCTTCATGGACAAATCTCAACTTCTTGACGTCAAATGCATTTGTAATGCGTTTATAAATGTGCTGCTGGTAGAGCTTTTTATGTCTCAAATCATGTCCTGATAGAACAAGATGTGAAGAGATGTTTTTGTAATACCACGATCCATCCTCATGGCCTTTTACCTTTTTCTAACTAAAAAAGTATTCTGCTAAAGAATAAGAGGCAGCGCTCCTGTAGCAGTAGCAATGTGCACTCCGCCCATCTTTCGAACGACTGTACAAACATAATCTCACTGTATAATGTACAATGAAAATAAAGCTTATTCTGAAGACATCCTGGACATTCACATCTAAACCATTCAAGCAGATAATTGCTCTAAAAAGTGAGCTAACTCTATCTATCTATCTATCTATCTATCTATCTATCTATCTATCTATCTATCTATCTATCTCTCTCTCATAATATATGTATATATATATATATATATATATATATATATATATATTATTTTTTTTTT